TTTTTTCCTTTTGCTACAGGTGATATACTGTGGCTATGTGACATACATGATGTGACTGAAACATACCATTGGCAGATAACTCTGAAAGTATAGAAAATGATGGTAATCTAGAAGGTGGATAGTCTTCAGAATCCTGTATGTTGAGGATGGATTCTCCTAAGCAAAATAAATCAATGCAGTTATTTAATTTATTATTACCACACTGCTCATTTAGTATTACTCATTGCATTCACTGATACTCAGTTCTACTTTAAAGATGAAATTGTGAAAAAAAACGGCCTATCACAACTGCATCTAAAATAGTTCCACAGAGTAACAACTATATTTTTTGCTCAAATGTGAGAATTCAAGAATAGTCCAGAAGGAAGACAGCTGGTCCTTAAGAAAGTAGTATGAAATAAAAAAAAAGTTTACCAACCTGAAGATCCTGCATGTTCAGACATGTTCCTTTCATCATCTTCAATGCAGCTTCCTCCTGAGAAGGAACACTTCTCATGATGTTGCTTCATTCGGGCAACCAGGTCTTGCATTTCTTTGTTGCACTGTTTGCATTTTGCATGCATGCCTGTCTTACCCACAGGTGGAGGAACTTCATTAAAATATTCCTAAACTGGGTCTCTCTTACAGATTGCTGCCATTATAGGTTTTCCCTTCTAGTGAGAGAATGGTATGGTAGATCTCAAATCAGTGAAGGTTACACTCGGAAAGACCTCTAGACTTCTGGAATATGTTGCTCAAACAGTTCCACTTTTGTTTCTACTGCCTGTCCCTCCCTTCTCGTATTTATCTCCAGACTTCTTCTCCTTGTCCAGATCTATTCCGCCTCCAACAATCTTCTATTCATTGAACTTTTTGAAACGTTGCACTTTCAGAGAGAGGTGAGGGATTGACTCTGTGTACACAAATTTGCAGAGGGACAATAGGGTTGAAGCCTGTTATTTCTTACCTCTCTATATTTATTTTAAAACATTTTTGCTGTTAACAAGCATGTTATCTCTGGAGACACAAATCCACACAGTCTGAGAACTGCAAAATTAAGCATCTCTGATGGTATCTTCTAGACTGAGCACTGAGTCCCATTGGGTAGATAAAGATTAATCCAAATAATCTATACAGAAACCCCTGGAACACCATAAGATTGGGTCCCTAATCCATGAACTATTGGAACTCATTCACAAAACTTTTCTTAAACATTACATGAATATATTGTCTCCTACTATAGAATTAGAATTTATAATCCCTATTCCATGATGAGAGATCTTTGAGCTATAATGTATCTTTAGCCAGGTTTTTTCCTCAAAAAAGCATTTTATCAAAAAAATCAGATTTTTTTTTTAAACCATTGATTTTTATCCATCCTGGCGTTAGCAGTTAATTTAGTCAGTCAGTGATTCTCTTTCAGTTCTGTGTTATGGCAGAACTGAAAAAGCAGAAGAGCCTGGGGTTAAAATATGCACTTCCTGACCAGATGTCTTCCCGGCATACTACAGCCACATACAGTGCCTCAAGTGCCTGGAGAAGGACATTCACCTTCTGGGTGTTTGATCTTCTGCATTCACTCCCAGAACCCACACGGATAAAGAGACTTTCCTGCCACAGCCAGCGTTAGACTCCCTGGGGCCCAGGGCAAAAACTAAGGAGTGGGCCCTACCCTGCTGAAGCCAAAGCCCGAGCCCCACTACCCAGGGCTGAAGCCTGAGCTGCCTGGCATTGCCATGCCCCTCCCCAACATTCCATGTTTGCACCCTCTGTGGGGGGCACCCCACAGTTTGAAAACCTCTGCTTTAGTGTGATTTGTTTCCACTTTTAGAGATTAAATTACTGTAATACTCATATTGAGTAGCATAATGTCATCGGTGCATCCAATGAAGTGAGCTGTAGCTCACGAAAGCTTATGCTCAAATAAATTGGTTAGTCTCTAAGGTGCCACAAGTACTCCTTTTCTTTTTGCGAATACAGACTAACACGGCTGCTACTCTGAAACCAATGTTAAATGAAATACTTAAAAAATTGACTGTCAGCCAGGTCAATATGAGCTAACTCGGTCATCTTCACCTTCATTTTCCTGTTTGTTCATAATCTGGAAAAGAAAAACAAGCTTTCCTGCTTTTTCAGGCCCCAAACGACCTGAACAGATTCCAGAATTGGTTTAACAGAGTTGATTCAGAACTTGTTTATTCCTAATTCTGCTTGTTTTAAAAATGTTGACTCTGCTGGGCATGAGTGCTGGGAGCATGAGCAGGCTCTCTGTGTGCACTCACAAAAGGAGCTTGTGCCTATTTCTGGCCCTGGCATCCTGGAGGGTAGGTGTAAACACCAGCCATTGTTCCAGTCAGTGAGTTGTGTTTTTCGGTTTGCATATTTTCTTTTTTGGAAAAGCATTGAGAATAGACTACAGAAATCTTTTCAAGTCCTGAGTGGCTCACAGAACTCCAGTTTCCCAGTTCCATTGTATGTACTTGTCCAACCTCCTTCCCTCTCCATTTTTAAAGTGTCCTTTTAAGTATAGCAACACTTGTTTACAGTGTCTAATATTTGTGCGTGTGTGTTGGGAGGGGAATGTTGATTTTTTTAACTAATGTAAGATAATACCATGCACTACTGAATTTACCTTTGATTTGGCTGGAGGAAATCTTCACATGTGAAAAGGATTTGGGAGTAGGGGTGGAACTGATTGTTCCACAAAATGCAGGATTCAAGATTTTAGAGACACTGGCAGACAGTCTCTTTGAATCTCATTTTATGTCTGGGCTCAAATTTTCTAATAAATTAAGTTTTGCGGTTAGTATTGGACTGTAACACGTTGTGGGTCATGAAAGGAGTGGCACTGCAACAATTTTTATAGTGGGGGTGCTGAAAGCCACTGGACAAAACTGTAAGTGCTGAAAAAGATGGAAACCTGGCCGCACCCCCAAAACCCCCACTTCCAGCAACCGTGCTTGAAAGCAGTACATTTAAACTTAAAATCAAAATTATCTAATCTTGTGCCACTTGCAATGCAGAGTTTTGTATTATTGTCTTTCCTATATTCTGTGTGTTAAATGACTCTTCCGTTACCAAATTGAAGGTAAACTATAATTTTAATGACCTCGGTTTCTTTTTCCTGTAGGCTGCACTTTGTGGCAGATTAGAATATTTGTAATAATTAGACCAGGGGTCGGCAACCTATAGCACACGTATTAAAGACGGCACGTGAGCCGATTTTTTAATGGCACGCTGCTGCCCGTCGGGTCCCAGCTGCCGGCCCCGCTCAGCCCGCTGCCGAACCCAGGCTGGCAGTGGGCTGAGCGGGGCCGGCGGCCGGGACCCTGGCAGGCAGCAGCTTGCCACTTAAAAATCCTGCCCGCCCCGGCCTGCTCTTCTCTGCGCCCCCTTCCCCCACCTCTTCCCCCAGCGTGCTGGGTTCCTGCCCCTCCTCCTCTCCCTTGCTGCTGCCGATCAGCTGATGGCCCTTGCGAGGGAGGGGGAGAAGCGGAGCCACACAGCGCTCACCGCTCCAGGGAAGAGGCGGAGAAGAGGTTGGGACGGGGACTTGGGGAAAGGGGATGGAATCAGGGCATATCCCCTCCAGCCCCCTGCCGTGAGCCGCTTTGGGCAGGGGGCTGGGAGCACCCCCATGACCCTAGCTCACACTCCCAGCCCTCTGCCCTGACCCCTGCTCTGCCCCACAACCCCAGCCCTGACTCCAGCCCCCCCCACATACCCAGCCCCCCCACGCCCTAACACTTGCACCCCCCACATTCCCACCCCCATCCTGAGCACCAAACGGGAGCTCTTGCACACACACGTGCGCGCGCACACACACACGTGCACCAAAGGGGAGCTGCCCAGATAAGCACTCCACACCCAAATCTCCTGCCCCAACCCTGAGCCCCCTCCCTCATTCAAGCTCCTGGCCAGACCCTATACCCCAACCCCCAGCCTGCTCCTTCACCCCTGTGCTCAGTGCACTCCCACTCTGAGAGAGAGAGAGGGAGAGGGGGGAAAAAAAAAAAGCTAGAACCAGGGAGAAGGTAGGTACCCACTCTGTGGGCAGGGCTAGTCTGGGGTCCCAGCCACCGGTCCCACTCAACCCACTGCCGGTCTGGGTGAACGGAACCCCAGGCTGGCAGCGGGCTGCCAGCGTAAAAATTAGTATTTTAATTTAATTTTAAATAAAGCTTCTTAAACATTTTGAAAGCCTTGTTTACTTTACATACGACAATAGTTTAGTTATATAATATACAGACTTAGAGCGAGACCTCCTAAAAAAACATTAATGTATTACTGGCATGCGAAACCTTAAATTGAAGTGAATAAATAAAGAATGGGCACACCACTTCTGAAAGGTTGCCGACCCCTGAATTAGACCCATTCTCTTGCATCCTGTGTACTGAATGGATTGACGTGACCTTTAAAACTGGTAATATAGAAACCCTAGCATGTATTTAATAACTTGCCTGTTTAACTATCAAAAGAACCGACCTACCCCTCTTGGATGAAAGAATTCTGAAAGGGATGTTCTCAAGTGCATCCTTCAAAAGGCACATTCCAGCTATGATCTAGACACACACATGCATAGTGCCTTACAGCAGTAAATTTGTATTTACAGGTGTGAAGAAACACTTTACTTGTGTTACCTTTCTGAATGCGGTGCTGAGCAAAATGCGTGCAGCGCTAGACCAGCTGACTCAGAGGGGGTTCCTGAGGGAGGAGTCTCATTTTCCCCCACTCCATGCTTGGCAGGAGGAAATTAGAGGAATGCCAGAGGAATCTCCCCTGACACTAGAAATCGGGGAAGGGATAGAGCAATGACCTAAATGACCCTCCTTTTCCCCAGTCACCACTCTAGCTGACGTTAAATGACATTGACAGACTCCATAGGAGAGCCTCATCCACCCTCTTTGGCTAGACTGAGTCTTGGTATGACACTGAGCCCTTCCATGGGGAAGATGAGGACATCTCAGAATATTACTTTGGAAAAGTAAATCCTGCTAAGACTTATCTCTCTGTATTTTCAGGTGCACTCACAGTTGGCCTTGTGCGACAGTGTCAAACCATCCATGGACGTGACAGGACCTGTATTCCTCCACGGCTGCCTCCTGAGTGGGTCACCACATTATTTTTCATCATTATGGGAATCATTTCACTGACTGTCACGTGTGGTTTGCTAGTGGCTTCCCACTGGCGAAGAGAAGCTACTAAATATGCCCGCTGGATAGCATTCACTGGAAGTAAGTGACTTCAGCTACAAAGTAAGCCTATCTGAAGGATTAAACTGGTAGAATTTTTTTTTAAAAAACAAATCTGGGTGGGGTTTGTTGCCTGAGACCAGTGATAAAACTCTGCCCTGATCAGACAGAATGCTTTTCCTTTTAAATTCCTGCTTTATGGAAATAATCCTCTTCTTTAAAATCAAGGGTTTGGTATCCAGAAGTGGCTGAGAACCAAGGGAAGATCTTTGGGATCCTGGCTTTATAGTCACAGTGCTGATCACCTGCTGCAGCCCCAGGGTAGAGGAAGAAAGAAGTACACCTCTGGACCATGGTAGCCTCCAGCCCCTCTCCCCTCTGGGAACGTCACAAAGTGGCCCAAGGAAATAGGAGTGCAGGAGTGGGGATGGTTAGGCTGTTCCTGAGTCATGTGAACTCTTAATTTTGCCGGTGTGGCTGGTACTCACTGATGGCTGGAATAATGAAATGGTTGAAGCCTTTTTTACCCCCACGTGGAGGAGGGTGTTGGTGGACCTTGGTCTCATTATTGCCCTGAAATCAGTCCTGTTGAAGTATCCTCCTGTGAACATTTGATGCAGGGTTGATGCTAGCTCTATTTTGTTACAATTCTCATGAAAGTTGTTTTCTTATTTGTAATGAGGTCCACAGATCCATGACATTGGTTACATGTACCCTTGAGGGTACGCAAAGGTCTTCCAGGGGGCATGTCAACTCATCTAAATATTTTCCTAGTTTTACAACAGGCTACGTGAAAAGCACTAACAAAGTCAGTACAAACTAAAATTTCATACAGACAGTGACTTGTTTATACTGCTCTAAATAATATACTAGAGTTTCTCGACCTGGGGGTGGCAAGTGCAAGGCCAGCATTAGACGTGGCAAGCAGGGCCCCCACAAAGCTAAGGTACATGCTGGAGCCAAAACCCCACCACCCAGGGCTGAAATCAGACTCCTGAATGGGGTACAGTAGTCTGGGAAGGTTGAGAACCACTGCTCTAAGCAGCCTTGGAGGCAGACCAAACCTGTTAATCAGAGGCAGTGGAGGTGTGGCTTCGCCTCTGAGAAACTGCCAGTTTCCATTTGCGTCTCCAGCGGCAGGCAGGCAGGCCAGCTCGTCCCTGCTGCAGAGGAAATTCAGGGGAGGGAAAAAGGTTGGGGGGAAATGGCTTAAACTCTCCAAGCTGTCAGGATCCGCTTTTATTGACAGAGAGGATTCCCTTTCTTCTCAGTCACTGGAGGACTCTGTATTCCCTGCGCACCCACATGTAGTGCAGCACGGTGGAGAAAGCCAAGAGGGAAAACCTGACATTGTGTCTCCTTGCACCTGCCCTCTGATTAGGTGCCTCCATGGAGATAATTGCCTGTTCTGTGAAGATCCAAGCTTCTTAAGTGCTCAGGAAGGGGCAGAGTTTCCTTCAGTCTCCCTCCCTGAGCAGAAGAGCTTCCTGGAAGCAATGGTAGTAGCTCATCTGCAAAAATCCCTTAACCTGGTACGTGACAGGGGACAGCATTTGCCCTGGCATCAGCAAATGGCAACTCCTCCTCCTACCCCCCAACTTGGGGTGAGTGTAGTGTGAAGCACAGTATCTGAGGGCCAGGGAAGCTTCCCACCCAACCCCTGGAGTCCACATTCACAGCTATGTCTGACCATGGAGCAGCTTTGGAACCCCATCCAACACAAAATTACTCTCTTGGGGCTACTCAAAAGAGGTAACCACAAGGTTCACTCCCATGCAAACCATCAGTCTAAAATGTCTCTCTCCTTCTGATGAGGATTAAGGTAGGCATAAGAAAGATGTTCAGACCCCTCTAGTCACCCCAACATAAAACACACAACCTCCACCCCTTCATTTTCTAAGAGTCTGATTTAGGGGATTCCTCTAGGAGGCACTCCTTAGAGGCATAAAGTGAAATCAGTTTCCCTCAAACTGCATAAATCTGCAGAATGCATCAGGACAGATAATCCTCAGTGTCTGGTTCCTCTGCTCACTTTCATAGAGTGCAGCAAGGCAGAAATCCTAGGCACTTAATTTCCTGGATCACCCAGCACAGGGGATAGTCAGTGTTGGGTTCCCCTCTTCATCCTCACAGAGTGCAGCATGGCAAGTCAGTGCACACTGTGGACATAGGCGGTTTCCTGTAGCCATGCATACACACAACCCCACAAAGGGAATTCTCCCTGCTTATAGGAGGAAGGCCAGTACTCCAAATCATAGCTAAAGACTCAAATAATAATTATTAAAATAAAAAACACCAGAGAATAGACTGATTAAAAAGTGTACAGAGGACGGTGATCTACAATTATGATGTTTGCTGATGCCTCAGACAAGCTATAGCTATATATCCCTCCTTATGCATCCTTTGAGTGTGAGACAGTGGGGTTTCCATATCTTTCAGAAAGTTCCTTGGTGTACACCAGTCAAAAGTCCTCCTGTTATCACTATCAAAGTGAATTGTGCCTTTTTTTCTGATGGTCAAGGACTAGATGTTTCTAACTGGGGAAAAATTTTTACCTGAAAGAGTGGCCTCCTCACTATACAGACCCTTCATAGGCAGCCAAATCCACACAGGCATAATCTCAGCCGCATCCTTTGGACATAAAAACTATCTGGGGGTCTCAGGCCAACAATAAATAAAGAAAAGAACTGTCATCCGGGTGGACAGTGTTGCAAGTGTGCTGTCTCGGTCTTTAAAAATAAAAAAAAATTAAAAAAACCCACCCACCACATGTCCTAAGGGTTCTGCCTAAGAAAGCGGAGGAGTCAGGGTGTGCAGAGAGCCATATAAATCTGCTACATCCCATCTGCTACAATGGGAATAATTTAATCTGTTCATCCTCTTCGGAGGAATCAAGACCTTACTCCATATTGTACCTTTATTTAAAAAGAAAAAAAAAAAGCTATAGAGCATTTCTCATCAAGTATCTCAACAGATCCATTAAAAAAAAAAATCCAAGATAGAGACCGTAACATCCACATTAGCCGCCATCAATGGGGGTCTCCGTGACATCCATAGGTATGAAGAATGCCTATATCCAGTTTGACAGTCTCACAGATTCTTCCTTAGCTTTATCCTCAGAGCACCACATTACCAATACTTGCAATGCTGTTGCTAAACCATTGCTGTATTTACAAAAAAGTGCTGGTAGTGTTAATATCTGCTCTCTGACAGGAAAGGATCTAAGTCTACCCATTCCTGGGTGACTCCTTTATTGATTATACCACCAAAGCAATAAGGATACTTCAGAACCAAGGTTTTGTGAAAGAATCAATTAGGTCTCAGTGTATTTCCAGTCTCTGAGTGGGAACTGTCACTGCCCTCTACAAAGTTGTTTATTGCAGCAAAGACACAAGAAGCAGAGAACTCTTATCAAAATAGTCAACCTCTCAAGGGAAGTACCAGTTCATACTCTTTTGGGATCAGTGATCTCCTCTGTGGTTATTCTTAGATGTCCAGTGCTCACATGAGGTTGCTACAGAGCTTTCTCTTATCCCTCAGCTGTCTCTTATCTGCACCTCAGTGAAGGTGTCTCATCCAAGGAGGATTCTCATCGGTTCAAGGACTGCCCAAGGGATCTAGTCCAAGCACAAGAGAAAGCACAGCATAAAGTGGTGAGAGCTCAGGGCAATCCGGTATGGTTTCAAAGCTCTTCTCCCACATCCAAATTTACCTAATGCACTGACCATGACAGACAACACCTCAGCCATATCGTACATCAGACAAAAGGAAAAAGGACTATAGTCCTTCAAAGAGAAGCTCACCTCCTGATGAGTGGGCAAAGGAGAATCTGCAATCAACTTATCTTCACATCCAAGGCAAAACTGAATTTTATGGTTGACTGGCTCAGCTGGCAAAACTTCAGTCCTCCAGAATGGGACCTATACTCAGTTGTTTCATCTCCTGGTAAAGATATTTAGTATCTCAGCTGTAGGTCTGTTTGCTTCCCACCTGAATCACAAGGTTTCAGTGTTGTGCTCTTGCCAGTGGGATCACAGACCCAAGGCAAGAGATGCCTTGTTGCAAAGAATAGCCAAAAGGGATTCTTTTATGCCTTACCTGCCTTTTTCTCTTCACACCAGAATGCTACAGAAGATTAGGAGAGAAGCAGCACTGATAATTCTGGTATCCCCATTCTGATCAAAGAGGCTTTGGTTCTACAATCTCCTTGATATGGTACAAAGACCTGCCACCTGATTTCCATTCAGAAGGGATATGCTATTACAAGGGCCAATCAGAATTCAGACAGTCTGAGACCAGCTGCCTGGTTCTTGAACCAGAGCCTCTTAAACCAAAGAGGTTATTCAGAGATCTAATACTCACAATTTTCATTTCCAGAAATAAATCTACTAACTCAGCCTATTCAAGGGCCTGGTTGAGTTTTAATTATTGGGGCTAGCACCAGGGTTTCACCCCCACATCTGCATTGGGACTACAGATCCTCTAATTTCTTCAAATGGATTTGGGTTAGGCCTGACAGTTCAGACTCTCAAAAGGTCAAGTTGCTGTCTGTCTAGCATCTTTAGTGAAATGGACAGGTAGTGAATTTAATCTTACATAGATATCCTGCATTTTTCTGAGGAGAGCAGCATCTCTTCTACATATTTCTTGTGTGCATAAAGGTTTATTATTTTTGGCTCTTAGCTGGTTCTCAGTGCCATTAGAAGCCCTACATTTGAACAATTCATGAAGGGATCTCATTGCTTTCTAACCATTAAAATGGCCTTTTTGGATGACAGTCATTTTTCTGGTTTCAGAGGGGTAACCATGTTAGTCTGTATCAGCCCACCCCCCCAAAAAAAGCAGCTTTTGTGGGCTAAAACCCACTTCATCAGATGATGAAGTGGATTATAGCCCATGAAAGCTTATGCCTAAATAAAGTCATGTTTATGTGCAGGGTGTCCGAGTTAGCTCTTTTTCTGGAACTTCAGTACTGCGTGTCATAAGGCTAAAGGGGTATGCAAACAGATTTTGACTTCAGACTAAAGATTAACTCCAGATTC